CCCCAAAACCCCAAAACCCCAAAACCCCAAAACCCCAATCTTAAAATTTATTGAAAATCACATAAAGACAATAATTGAGCCCATTTTGATTATTGATACCATATCAAGACTCATACAGCCAATCCTATGAAATGTTGCGCTATCATTTAGGAATGCCACTAATCTAATAAGCTTAATGTAAATAAAAATCACTGAAAATTAGTAATATAAGCATCTTCTTTAAGAAACTTTTAGCTAGATTCGTATAATACAGAATATTATTGATTCAGGAAGAAGCCTTCGATCATATCAAACTCCCCTGGAGAGCTGAGGATCTTCACTCGAGGCTGCATTGAGATGTTTTCCTGATGCTTGAGCATTACTTTCATCTTTCTCTTCTTTCTAAGAGAAGGTTGTGGCTTTGGTTTAAATTTAATCTTAGTTGCGAGATCATCTAAGAAATTCTTAATGAAACTATGAAACTCGTAAAACACAAGGTCTTTTTGTAGAGCAGCAGAATAGATATCTTTCATTGGACAGTCTAGGATCAGATCTTTATCCCGATGAGCAAGTTTTATCGAGATTACTAGCATATCAAAGAACTCTTCAATTGGCTCTTTCCTTTCCCTACAGTATAATCATGCTTTTTGGCACATATCATCTATAAATCTTTCACCTCTAAGGAGTTGAGCTCTCTTAACTTTTCTGACTGGGCTTACATCTGACAATGAGCTATCTGATCTTAGGAACTATTTGAAAGATAAAAGATAATCCATACATTGTTAGCCTGGAGAGAAGGTGTCTTTTTAGAAATCTTTCTCTTCTTTGGAGCAATTATTCTAGAGTCCTGAGTGTAGTAACCATTCGCAGCCTTGTTGAACATCTGTTCTGAATGGCTTAGCAAACTACTCTTGGTAGGCTTCTTTAAGGTTTGACGATGAGAAGATTTCATTAGTGAATCTTTATTCCCTGTGCTTGTTGCCTGCAGTAAGTCGAATAAAGGCTGTTTTTTATCTTTTTCCTAAAGAGTTTTATTTAAAAATGTACCTTTGCACTAAAGTTTTGACGAAGAAGAATATTGATATTAGGCTCACTACTCCTATTTGAGAATGAGGTATCGAAAGGATCACAAACGATTGCACTGACATCGTTCTTGGTAAAGTTCTTCCCAGGTTGTCTTGAATGGGATGAGCTACCTCTTGCATCAAAGTCTAAGGTTTGATCTGTTTTCTTGACATCTGGTTTTAGTAAACTGAATGCAAATCATTTTTGCTCTTCTAGAGGGTCAGATTCATCATCTTTTCTAATTTCAAGATGTCCAAATCTTTCTTGCTCAATATTCGGATCTACAAAGTCTTCTCCTGGTTCTTGAGGATCAATTTCAGGCGAAGTATGCTCCTTGTCTACATTCTTATGCTCTTTGTGAGCCATTGCCATAGAGAAATTTTGAGAATAGTCCACTGAATCATGGTTAACACTGCTTGAATTCTCGTTATCTTCATGGATGGTCTCAATACCTTCCAGGTACAGTTGCTTTGTCTTAGAGTTCCTAATAAATGAGAGATCGCTGTCATTCATGATGCCTGAGATATTCTTCGAGGCATCCTTGTCATTATGGGAGAACTGAGAAACATTGACATTAGGGTTTTGATTTAGTTTTGAGTAGAAAGAATCACGGACTTCCATCACATCATCACAGTTATCCTCTTCTTGGTTAAATTGATTCTCATCTATGTTGAGAGCACTTAAGTCAGATTCCTGCCTCTCATATGCTGCCTTGTTGTTAGTAAAGAGAGGGTTGACCACCTCCTCTTGTGGGGGAAGGTACGAGTCGTTATCTATGTGAATCTCAATATCATGTTCATCATCATTCTTGAAAAACTCCTTTGAGAGTTTTCCATCAGATCCTTCGTTGGTGTTCGATCTTCTGAGTGAATTGGTGGCTTTAGAAGAGGAATTAATTTCTTCCTGATCTTCTACAATCTCTAAAGGAGTGTTAAGGAAGGTATTTGGACGAGTCTTCTGAGTTCTGATGCCAGTTTTGACAATCGGAAATGCTACTTTTCCATACCATTTGGTGAGATTATCTCTTGAGTTGCTTCTTTTCAACTTTTTGCGATCCACCATATCAAAATTCCCTTGGATTGAGTTTTGATTGTCTAGATTTAAAGTGCTTGACCTTGAAGGTAATTCACTGTTCTGACTTTGTGACCTTTTGTGAAGTTTGAACTGACTTTCTTTCTGAGATGGTTGTCTATTCTTAGGCTGAGGTTTATTCTCTGCCCTGTTCTTACTATTCCTCCTCGACCTTGAAACATTCATAGGATTTTGGGAGCTATTAATAGTTCACTCATAACTTACAAATTAAATGACAATCTTGAAATATCTAAGATGGGATTATTGTCTTCATAGTTGCGATTGAGATACTCAATATTCTTCAACTGAGTTCTTAAAGTATCAGCTTCCTTCTTAAACTCTATTCAGTCTTGTTCCAAGATGAGGTTTGCTTTCTCCAGATCTTCTCAGCTGTCCCTATAATTTTTGACTTCGTTTTTAAACCCCTGTATCTTAAACTTAAGATTTTTGTATTTATTTATCACTGTTTGCTTTTTCTTTCTCGAGAACTACAACATGCTTTTTGAGAATTTCAACGTCTCTTTCAAGATCTTCTATTCTTTCCTTGTCTTCTCTTTCTTTTTCTTGGAAAGAGTTGAGCTCTTCGTTGGTCATGTCCATACTCTTTTTAAGTTCTCTGTTTTCCTTCTTACTGAGCTTGAGAAGGTCGACTAATTGCTGATTGTAGTCCTGAGACTCTTGAAAAGCAGCAGTTGTTGCATTGTATTCCTCTTGACTATACTTCACATCGTTTCTATCTCAATCAGCATTTAAAGATCCATTGCTGGAGTTATCTTCAAGGCTTTGGTTTTCAGCCTCAGAAAGAGTTAAGAGACGGGAGAAATTTGGAGCTTCATGAAATTGTTCAATTATGTCTTGTTTATCTTTGAGGTCTGATTCAAGCTCACCAATCCTCTCTTCATACTCTTTAATATATTCTTCCATTTCTTCAATCTTTTTATCGCTTCTTGTGATTCACCCATTCAAATACTCTACGTTATCTCTGAGTTTGGTGCATTCTTCATTGGTTCTATTAAATTGTTTAGCTGAGATTTCTAGTGTCGAAATGAGCCCTCTATTACGTTCTAAAGTATTGGTGAGAAGAAATATTACCTAGTAAGAATTCGGCAATATTTGCCCATTTTTCATAATTCTCTTCACGGATCACCAATCTCTTAATAATGTCTTTATCCACTGTAGAGTTATCTGCAAGTTCGAATAAAGGCGTATCTTCGCTATTTATTTCATCTTTGAATTGTTCAAAATCTAAAGAAAATATAAGAATCCAATCTAATCCCATGTATGGCTTACTCATTCTAAAATACTGTTGGTCAGCTTTAATCTGGTCTATAATTCTGTCAGTCTAAATGTCCCATTAAGTCTTGATGCCTACCTCTTCCTGTGATCCGCCAAAGCCAGGAAGGTCTGAGCCTGTGCTACTGATGCTGGCATCAGATTGAAACTTTTGCAATGTAGTCATGGCTATCTTAAAATATTTCCAAATGTAAAATTTATAGGGGTTTTGGGGTTTTGGGGTTTTGGGGTTTTGGGG